CCATATGTGTAAAGTATACTGACTTAAGGCACTATCATATACTATCCAAACTATCATGTGTGAAGAAATTCTTGATAAGTGACTTTCATTCAACAAAATTGTGCCATTGGAAAACCATTACATTGTGCTATTGCATTGTGCCATAACAACCAAGTTCTTAATGACTAATTCAATCAACATTGTGCCATACAACTATTGCCATACAAATCCATTACATAACTAAGAAACTGAAAAGCAGTACACATGACCATCACTTACACAATTCTGACATTGATAACCAAGCTTACATCCTCAAATACACACTACCTACTAAACCAAGAAGTATAATCATAGCAAACCCATACAACTTCCTACTCTTTTTGTTCACCTTCGCCTCATTGTCAACCACAGTTTTGACACAAGCAACATCACTGTGTACATGAGAAATCTGTAGGACAAGTCCTTCAAGCAATTTTTTTCAAATCATCTACACTTTCGCTCTTCGCTTCAGCCCCCACAAATTCTGTCTTCTCTTCAGCCCTGACAATGTCTTTTATTCCTACGTCTTCCTCCCATAAGAAAAAACCGCAACTCCCAACGTGTTAATGGAATTTTTCCAAATCATGAACATATATAACGTATGCAATAAATGAACAAGGCAAGACACTGTCATCCAAAACCACACAGCCAAATCATACACTTACATTCCATTTTTGACACCCAAAAAAGCTTCTCCCACTCTCTCGGCCAATGCATAGCGGAGCTTTCAATCCACACCAACAATGAACATCAGGCTCGTAGTCAAAGGTACGACTTCGTTCTTTTCATTGATGATGATGAAGACAACATACTTGCGAACGCTCGTAGAATGGCACAGTCACAAAGAGGGAGAAGGGAGAAGGAGAAAGATTTGTCTGAAGGCGAGGTTGATGAGGGCGAATACCTAGGTCTGAAGGGAGGAGAACGATTTTTGTTACATGCTGAGGAGAGGATTAGGCTTCCAAATGGGAATAGCCACGTCAGGTTAAGTGGCGGGCAAGGGAGGGACACGTTGGATTCCATGTCATCCAATAACGGGCTAACTGGGTGTCCACCGGCTAAAAAGCCTGATTGGTTGGTTTTGGTGAGTAAGCGGACTTGATTGAGTAATTCGGAAGTACGATGGCTTAATTGAGGAATTGGCCAAAGTACGAGGGCCTATTTGATAGTTTTCTCAAGGAAAAACTATCAAACATGCCTTGTTATTATTTTCAAACCATCCATTAAGCCCCTTGTACTTTTAAGTCACTCATACAAGTCGATTAAGTTTAAAAACACTCAATCTAGTGTATTAGTCAGTAATCAGTTGATTACCCCAATTGTTCGCTGACCTGGATGCGCACTTAGGTTGGTTAATACATATTTATCCCAATTGTACTATACGTTACGGACCTCCGATGTACTGTTGGTGTGGATCGAAATCCCTCTATGAGTTGGATGAGAGAGTGAAAGAAATTTTTATGGCTGTAAAAAACTTAAAGATAATTGGATGATTTTGTTGTTTATTTTATATTTTTAGTGTGTATTACATCGCATCTGATAGATCGATCTATGCATTAAATTTGTGTATTTTGTTGTGTTATTTTGTTGTGTATAGGTTGGTGGTTGCTATTTCTTTATACGGAAGGATGGTATAGAAACAAAAGATGAAGTGCGGACAATTGTTGAAGATAGCAATGGAAACAGAGATGAATTAAAGATAATGCTTCGAGTAGATGTTGACCAGTTAAGTGATGTAAATCAAAATGTTGATTGTGTTAGAAGTATATAGTTGAAAATAAAGTGAAGGAGAGCAGACTGTTTAGAAATTTATATGGATTTGATATGACCATAGTAGTGGGATTTGTAGCCATTCTTTACATCATTCATAGTAAAAGTGCTTTGTAATGGTATAGTAGCTTCTGTGATGGTTATCTAACTATTATCTCTACTCGTGTTGTGCACGGGATAAAATGGTGATGTTTTAATTTTACTACATATGTGTCTGTGTGCACTCACATAAGTATGAGTTATTATAACTAACGGAAAGTCACTTACTTAGTCGATTATAACAATGGTTGATAAATGCATCTTCTTACTTATTGAACATCTCTTATTTTTTTTAACTAATTATCTAAACATGTTCTCAACCTATAGTTTCCAATTAAAAGAGCCACTTTTTTTATAACTCTTATTTGCATCCAAATGAATTTCGTCTTTTCAACCATCTTTATCTAAACAAAAAAAATTGGTCAATGCCTATTTTTATGCATTAAATTTCATTTGTAACTTACTATCTTTTCAGAACTTTTAACTACGCATTTTTGTAATTTATGTGTTTAATAATGGGTGTGGTCATATTTTTTAAGAAATTAACCCTTGATTTACAGTTGAGCATATTAGTCCTTCAAACTTCTTTTAAAAAAGATCAAGTTAATAATATATAATTTTGTGTCATTATAATTTTAATGAAGGTGATGACAGCGGCAACAGGTCGGCTGCATAACACGATTGGTAGCGGTCGATTTAGTTTTCATTAGATTGATTTAGAATAAGTATAACACCAAATAGTACTATATTAAAGTTACATCCGTAAGTAATTATCACTTCTACACAGTTTAATAAAGCTTTCAAAGATCTGAAACTCTCGTGAAAAATATATAAAGATTTATATTGATATTTAATACATACACTAAAGTAAAAAATAAATTTTATTTTTGTAGATCAGATATAAAAATTGAAAACAATATAAAATATCCTTAATCAATTGCTATTATTTTCGTATGGCACCGATTTGGCATCGTAGATTCGGACATTGTGGCGAACATGCTTTACGCCTTCGTAGTCATAGCTATATTAATAGTACTTCTAGTTTTGTTCATGATTGTATTTCTTGCCGGTTAGGCAAATCACAACGATTACCTTTTGGATACTAGTCATACTTCTTCTATGTCATTACAATTAATTCATTCGGATGTTTGGCAGTCACCTGTTGTGTCTAATCTTGGCTCTAAATATTACGTCTTTTTATTGATGATTCTTCACGGTTCACATGGCTTTATCTAATGCGTAAAAAGAGTGAAGTTTTCCATCATTTTAAATTTTTTAAGGCCTTAGTTGAAAATCTCTTTAACTGTAAAATTGAAGTGTTTCAAAGTGATGCAGAGGGTGAATTTGTTAATTTTACTATGCAGCATTTTTTAATGAACGTGGAATTTTATTTTCAAAAATCATGTCTTGAGACTCCACAACAAAATGGTGTGGCTGAACGTAAATACCACCATTTACTTGAATTAAATAGGACCATGTTGCTTGAAGCTTCTATTCCTAATAATTTTTGGGTCGGTGCTATATTTACTGGTGCATATATTATTAATAGATTACTCTCTCCTATTCTTCTTGGCTCATCCCCATATGAGAAACTTTTTCAAAAACTTCATGATTATTCTTTACTTCGTGTTTTTGGGTGTGTTTGTTTTTCAAATATCTCTGCTACCTCATCTAATAAGCTTTCTCCACGGCCTGTTCTTTGTGTTTTTATTGGCTATGCATCTGGATATAAAGGTTATCGGTGTCTTGAGCCTAAAACTGGTAGGGTGTACATGAGTCATCATGTTCGTTTCCACGAGTCTAGATTTTCATTTGCTACCTTAGGTTCCTCATCCACTTCGGAGTCTTCGTCCCGCAGCTGCAGCTTACTCCCCCCTTTAATTATTCCTCCCACTCCATCCGTATCACAATTCCCCACCATCCATGCATCTCCACCTACCTCCACGTCGGCTGCAACACTTGCAGTACCGACCCAACCTGCTCCTATCTCCCCTCCCTGCCATCTGCTCAACACCGCACCCCACTTCCCAATAACTCCCCAATCCTCAACCGTAGGTCCATCCTTTTCCACTGTCTTAGCCGACAACCTCCCTCCCAGCCCTTCGTCAACCCGATAACCTCCCTCCCAGCCCTTCGTCAACCCGACAACCTTCTGCCACAGCCGATCAGTCTTCCTCTCAGCCTGCCACAGCTGGCTAGTCTTCCTCTCAGTCCGAGCCTCCTACTTCGTCCTCGTCTAGTGGTCCGCCCCTCAATGTGCATCCCATGCAAACTCGGTCTAAGTCCATGATTTTAAACCCAAATCAATATTTAGCTTAAACACAACTATTACTTCTGCTGACACCACTTGTTTTACTAAGGCAAATAAACATTTAAAATGGCATGAGGCTATTGCAGATGAATTTAATGCTCTTATTACTAATAATACTTGAGAGTTAGTTTCGTTTGATCACACTAAAAATGTCATTGGTTCGAAGTGGATTTACAAAACTAAATACTTTCCTGATGGTTCCATTGAGCATAAAACACGATTAGTAGCTCAAGGTTTTAATAAGCAGGCTGGTGTTGATTTTTGTGAGACTTTTAGTCCTGATGTTAAACCCACCATTGTTCGTCTTGTGCTTACTATTGCTATTTCCTTGGGTGGGTTATGCGTCAGTTAGATGTTAAAAATGCATTCTTACATGGCCATTTGACAGAAAAGGTTTACACGTGTCATCCGCGGAGTTTTATTCATCCACAGTTCCTAATCATTTATGTTGTTTCCTCAAGCAGGCCCACGAGCATGGTTTCCTAATCATTCGGTAGTTCTCCCCTTACTCATAATTTTGTGTGTAACAAGTCTGATAATTCTCTATTTATTTATCGCTATAATAATTCTATCATTTATTTATTATTATATGTGAATGATATTATTATTATTGGCAATTCTCCCTCTTTGGTTAATTCTTTCATTATTCTTATTGCTTGTTAGTTTGCTATGAAAGATTTAGGTGACTTACATTACTTCCTTGGTGTTCAGTATATTCGCACGCCGAAAGGTCTATGAAAGATTTAGGTGACTTACATTACTTTCTTGGTGTTCAGTATATTCGCACGCCTAAAGGTCTATTTCTGTCTCAACATAAATATGTGTCTGATCTTCTCACCCGATTTCACTTGCATACTCTCAAGTTTGTTCGTACCCCTCTTGCTACACGCACCACTCTCTCCCTCACTGATGGTGAGCTCCTTGCAGATCCCACTGAGTACCATAGTATGGTAGGTACATTAAAATATTTAACTTTGACACGACCTGATATTACTTATGCAGTTCACTTAGTGTCCTAATTTATGCATGCTCCTCGTACCACTCACATGCTTGCTGTCAAACGTATTTTTAGATATCTGTAGGGTACTCTTGATCATGGTTTATGGGTCCAAGCCAGGGCTCTGAGCGTTCCACTTACATTATGGCTTATTCTGATGTTGATTGGGCGGACTATCCGGATAGATCTCGTTCCACTACTGGTTTTGCTGTTTTCTTGGGCCCAAATCTTGTGTCATGGAAGTAAAAAAGAAGCAGCCAGCAGTGTCCAAATCCTCTACCGAGGTTGAGTATCTTGTTATAGCTTATACGTTTCAGGACACCTTAAATGTCAGATCTATCATGTTCGAGTTTGTTTTTCCCATTACTACACTTGTGCATCTCTTTTGTGATAATATTTCAACATCCTATCTCACTGCTAATCCAGTTCAGCATGCTCGGAGTAAGCACATTCAGATTGATTACCATTTTGTACGTGAGAGAGTGGCGCATGGGCCGCATGGCGATCTTGTTGTGAAATATGTTCATACTCATCTTCAACTTGCTGATATTTTTACCAAAAGTTTTTTTGTCAACAATTTAATTTTCTTAAAAATAACCTGCGTGTTGTATCTCCCGCACAACTTGATGAAGTGTAACAGTGGGCTTGGCCCAATTGTATTACTCATATTTATTTATTATAAATACATCTACGTGGTTCCTTAGAGAGTAACATATTCCCATTATTCCACACAATGACACAACCATTGCCGTCAAAAAATCAAATTCCCCACCGGTTTATACGTATTCACTCACCCGGTCAATTCAGTTTTTTCCATGTACTTTCAATGATATGTATTCATCCTCCAGCCATTTCATTTTTCAATTAAAACCTCATTTTATGTTATACATCAATTTTTTGAATCTTTTTTGTGAATAATTATGAGTTAAAAAGGCAAACATTATGATGCAAAAAAACAAACAAATTAAGAGTTTTTTTTTGTTACTTCATACTGATTTTTGAAAAAAATAACAGAAAGATGTAAAACAATATATTTGAAGTATGAGATCTTAATTCTAACACATCGATTTAGTTAAGAAATGTTTTGGACCAAAAATTCTAGTATTCTACTAGAGATTAAGAGATAAAATTTCATATATATTTTTTAAATTTAAATAGCAACAATGGGGTCATATGAAAGATCACAAAAAGTTATAAAATTTGATATATTCTTTGTAAAAAAACAAAGTGCAAATAAAAAAGAAATTACATTTTTTTAAATAGATATTTTCTCTCTCAAGGTCCCACACATTCTTATCGTCCACAATTAGCATTCTCGTGCAATACCCCATTCAAATATATAGGGGTGACATATCTCTTGTCAACTACTCCCTCTGTCCCCTTTTAAATGTCCCATTTTATCATATCGGGATGTCCCTATTTAATTGTTCTATATCTTATTTGGTAAAGTTTGTGTGACTCAAAATCATTCTTACTTTAGTCTTACTTTATCAATTAATATCAACCACACAAACCCACTTTACTTAAAACTCGTGTCACCCTCTTCCGGGACATTTAAAAGGGGACGGAGGGAGTATTATATATTGATTTTATTGTAAGTCCCTTGTGACACATGATGTATTGAATTAATAAATTTGGCGATTTTCCACTAAAAAAGATCTAAAACAAAATGAAACAATAGTAGACAATAATAATAACTCAAAATGGTAAGAGCATCTTCAACACAAAAACGTCAACGGTGTGTATGGCATAAGAAATAGCCAAATTTTAATAAATAAAATATATTTGTATTTCTTTGAACGATCTTATACGTTTTTGGTAAACTTTTCTTTCACCATAATATATTGAATGTGCTCTAATTAGCACCGATTAATAAGTCTGTCTCTCGTCTAGGGTTTTTGTTACTCCGTATATATTAACACAAAACCTCAACCCGCAATCGTCACCCCTTTCCCGCTATCTAAAACTCAGGTTTGCCCTACCTCTCAGTCTTGTAAACTCAAAATCTCAAAGAAGATGGCCGTAACCTTCTCAGATCTCCACACAGAAGCCGGTATCCAGTCTCTTGATGGATTTCTCGCTGCAAAATCATATATTTCTGGGTAGTTATTAATTTATTTGATTTACACTAGTAATGATTCGCTTTTGAATTCTCCATTCATGTCATATTGTTTAAATGACGATTCGTAGAGATCAATTCACGAAGGATGATGTCAAGGTATATGCTGCCGTTTTGGAGGAACCTAGTGCAGATCTATACCCAAACGCTAGCAAATGGTACCAAGCCGTATCTTGCAAACTCGCCACAAGGTATATTGTTTTACTGCTTTTCATGCTGTAATTAATCTTATTTATTTACTTGGTTAATTTCGCATTGATATTTTCTTAAAATCTGAATCCCAATTTTAATTGCTGTTTTGAATTTTCATGTTTTGTGTCTTAGCTTCCACGGGAAAGCCGTTGGAGTAAGATTTGAGAGTCAAAGTGCTCTGGTTGAAGCTGCACCAACCAAGGGAGCCGAGGTAGTTCCTGATGAAAAATTCTTATATTTGCTAAATTAGCAAGTATATCTACTTCAATTTACAATTTTATATTTCATGCTTTCCTGAACTTTTGTTTACAATATGTTCCACTTTATCATGTAGATGAAGTTACTATTTATTGGTCATACTCTGAATTTTAATTTAAAGATTAGATATTTCCAGTTTTTGTTTTTTGTTTTTTTCCCTTCAACTTTTCCCTGCTAAATGGATCATAATACTTTCATACTCCATATATTTGATAAAATAGTATTTATTTAGAATCGCTTGAAGGATAGACATAGCATTACAGTTATTTAAAACTTTGGAGATCTGTTAACTGTAGTTCTGAGGGCTATGTGAAAGCGTGAATGAGAGATTATATTCTTCATGATTTTCATATTATAATTAAGTCCTCAAACATTATTCATCACACTTAGCATTACGAACACATCGATCACCAAAGCATGACATTAATTCACCATCTATAAACTGAAAATCTCCTGAAATTTTTACAAAGCATTGTTTCATCGTAAATGCCTAAGCATGGTCTTAAGAGCTTGGTTAGCATTTACCAGTATATTTTACCACCAAGCCACCAACTAGTTGGGATTAAGGTGGTGCTGCCGCTGATGTTTTATTTAGCTTAATCACCCTCATAGTTCCACTAGTCACTAACACATGGAACATATGCAGGCTGATGATGATGATGACATTGATCTCTTTGGTGAGGAGACGGAGGAAGAAAAGAAAGCAGCAGAAGAGAGAGCAGCCTCAACTAAGGCATCCTCCAAGAAGAAAGAGAGTGAGTCACGACATAGACCATTCCTTTTCCTCGTAGACATTATATTATCATACTAATCATGATTGTGGACAAGGCATTATTGTGCCAGTCATGGTTGTCACAGTGGCTAGGCGAGGCACGGTTAACCGGTTGCCTTATCGCCTAGGCATCTGTCTAGCCGACAAGGCGACAACTAGGCAACATGTCGTGCCTTGTGTAATATTTAAATATACCCATGTAATAAAATAATATATTATAGATAATATTAAAAAACATATACCTGAGTATGTATAAGTGTTCAATATAAATGGACTCCAGCTAGACTTGAAATAACAGCAAGAGTAGCAGAAATAAATGTGTAGTACATTTAACATTAATATGGAGTCTAGCTGTCTGTGTAAGCAAATAAAATCTAAAACTAAAAGTATCCACAGTTCACAACCTTAAAAAACACGGGAAGAGCGTAAGTAAATGGTGGCGGTGGTGGGCTTGGGTCAGCGACTTGAGGCTGTGTCCTACTGCGTTGACTTGGGTCAGTGACTTAGTCGATGGGAGGAACCCTGGAAGGGCCAAGGGTTCTGGCCGACAGCTTAATCTTAGAACTCATCATCTTCTATGCACATGGCCGAACCACCACAAGACTCTTGCATCTTATGTGTTACTCCCATTCGACAATTAATTTAATTCACTAACCAAATTTCGTCAAGCACTGCCCATTAGGCCACCTTCAGACATGATATCCTTATATACCCTTTCAAACAGGCGCATACTTTCTTTGTTATACATTTTTCTTCAATACAGGATAATAGATAATACATGTTTACAACTTTTTTGTATCATTGTTTTCATGCTGTTTGGGGACGGGGGGATGTGGATTTTTATGTTCATATTCCTATAATGAATACAAAATTTCATTTGTTCAATTTCTCTCCTTTACAGGTGGAAAGTCTTCTGTTCTTTTGGATGTTAAGCCCTGGGATGATGAGACAGACATGAAAAAGATGGAAGAGATGGTTAGGAGTATTCAGATGGAAGGACTTCTGTGGGGAGCATCAAAACTTGTTGCTGTGGGATATGGAATCAAAAAGTTGCAGATCATGATGACCATAGTTGATGACCTTGTCTCCGTTGATACGCTCATTGAAGAGCGACTAACTGTTGAACCCTGCAATGAGTATGTGCAGAGCTGTGACATTGTTGCCTTCAACAAAATCTGAGCTCCCCCCATATGTTATTTTTGTCCTGTGTTTTTAATTGTGTTTGGCCTTCTATGATTTTGGATTGAAGTGTACTAGAGCTATTTTCTTTCATGGAGCGGTACTGTTATAATATATCTATGGTGCTTCTAAAAGTATTGTTAACTTGACCATGTTTGTAATCAAGTTTATAAGAGCTATCTCCAATGGTACAATGTGCACGGTGCACACGTGGCATAAGAGATGGCCACATAAATATTAGTAAATAAATTCATTCTCTCTTTATTTAAATGATTTTATACAGTATTGATAAGTTTCTCTCCACAATGTCAATGAGACCGTTTAGATGTTGATATTGTTGTTGACATTGCAGGGAAAAACTTATCAATACTGTATAAAATCATTCAAATAAGGAGAGAGATAATTTATTTGATAATATTTATGTGGCTTTCAATAATGTCACATGTGTACCGTGCACATTATAGCATTGGAGATGTTATAAAGTATCTATATGTTGTTGAACATTATTCAAAACCTATTATTGGCTTATTTTTTGGAAGAAAGTTGCTTGACTTTAAAGTTTATGATTATTTTTGCCGTGTTAACACATCCGCCAATGGCCGAAACTTAAAAATACATGGCTGTCAGGTGTTAATCCAGAAAGAGTGTTTTGGGACTCCCATTGAGACTAGTTCTGGTCTGGTGACCTGTTTAGTCCATAATCGGCCGGACTTAAGTGTTCCCGGAAATGGAATTGCCCTGCCAGTTCCTGGTCAAAACAGTAATTGGGGATGGGGTTTTAGGCCATTTGTGGTGGTAAGGATTAGAAGTCTAAAATGTTAAATTTAGAGATTTTGAGCTCCTAATTTGGTGTAGTTAGGGACTGAAAGGGGGATTAACAATTAGGAGCTCACCAAATTACACCAAATTAGGAGCTCAAAATTAGGAGTCTAAAATGGTGGAAGCAAACAACATTAGGAGTACAAAATGTTAACTTCTTGATCATAGATCATAAAGAGCAATAGAACAAGTTTAGTAACTTATTTCATCAATTATCTAATGAGTTTCAAGCAAAATATGGTAACGCACCCCTTCCCTCGACACGAACATCTTCTTCATCTAAAGGAAATTCGTTTTTTAAATCTACATTTAGTAATCTTATGAAAAAAATAAATCAAACTCCCGTTGTTGCACAAAGCTCGATTAACGAGCTTTCTTTATATCTAACGTTTCCTGATGACTATGAAGGGAATGACTTGGACATTTTGCAGTGGTGGGAATGACAAAGAAAGAACGTTCCCGATTTTATTGAAGATGACTAAGCAAGTGCATCAATGTTGATATCAAATGTCACCTGAAACAAGAATTTAGTTCGACTGGCAACGTCCTAACGAATTATAGAATGAGATTGAACGCAAAATCTCTTGAGACGCTCATTTGCTTCCACGATTAGTTAAAGGTCCGACGTAGAACTCAAGAAGTTTGCATTACCCCACCCGCCACTTCATCAAGGAAACAACAACTGACGGTGCCAGAGATTCCGACTTATTTTTAGACAATGTATTTAACATTTTAAATTATTCTCAATTCACAAGTGTAGTTCATATTTCAAATAAATATAATTCAAATTTTTATTGTCTAACACTTGTTCAATTAATTTTTAAACAAAATTATTAAAAACAACAGCCCAACCCGAGGCCCGCCCAGGTAGCCCAACTTGACCCGGTCCCGATACCACATCGGGCCGGCACTGGGCCTGATATCCTAAGCTCCAATCCCATCCAGACCCGTTCTGGGATCCAACCCGGTCCACCCTTACTTGATGGTAGTCATAGAAACGAGTTATTGATAAAAAAAAAGTTGCTTCCAATTTAACGGGGATGTACCGGTTCCGGGCCGGGCTCCGGCACTGTTTAAACCGGACTTTTGGGGGGGGGGAGCTCCAGAACCGGCCCGGGATTCCACCGGGTGCGGTCTCGGGCCGGGCCAGTCCAATTTTTTTGTTTTGCTTTTCTAATTAATACCCGACCCCCCCCCTCACCCCCACCCTCAACCCCCCCCCCCCCCCAAACACCCAACCCAACCCAGGAAAAACAAAAAAAATTGAAAAAAAAAGGCCCAACTCGGCCGGGCCGGTTTTTATTTTCAATGACCTGGGCCCGCTCAGTAACACCCGGTTCGGGCCTAACCAGACCGGTCCAGGGCCCGGTTGCCGGGCAGGTCTGACTGGTCCCGGTCCATCACTAAATTAACCTACATAGTCCAAACTCCGAAGCATAATATTCAACTAATCAAGGAGAAAATATTAACCTACAAAGATTAAGCATAATATTAACCCTAGTTAGCTTTTTTCCATTTTAAACGCGTTTTAAACACGTACCGTTTTTTGACCAAAAAAACACGTTTAAAAATGGGGAAAATGTCGGTCCGTTTAAAAAGGAAAAAAAACTCCTAATTCCCGTATAAAACGTATTTTTCCCGTATTTTACAAAAAACATAAACATGAATTGACCAATTGAATGAACGCACTAAATGTATAGAAGATCAACAATAGTGTAAAAGTAAAAATGAAAACGTCCTCCCCATGATCTCGTGTTTTTTTATTGTTACAGTGCAATTATTAAATACTAAAATTAATTGCATGATGGCTAAAGCTAGCATCCTGAAATACTAAAACTTACGTAGTAATATACTACAAGATTTCTGATGTTTTTTCAAGCTAGCATATCAAAATTAAGATTTTTCTAAACCTACCGTTTTTTTAGCATAAACTTTTACACAAACAATAATAAGTGTAGCAATCACACAACTTTTGTCATATGTCATCTATCATCTTAATGAAAATGATGAATTTAACTTGAGTGTTATTTGATAATCATATAAAGATAATGATTTTTTGACATTATTTTTCAAAATTATGTCTTGGACTTAATTACTGTTTTTATTTTTGTCTTTGACTTATGCAATTACGAACTATTCTTGTATGTAGTAATGAGATTTGCTACTTGAATATGTGTATACTTCTATTTCTTTTTTACTTTATATGTTATTTTATGAAATATATCATTTAAATGTTCAAAATAATACTCGTATTTTTCGTCCGAATTTTTGTAATAGACAACGTATTATACATGTATACGTATTTACACGTTTTTTAAAAGTCAACGTTTTTTTCAACGAATTTTTGACCGTTTTTTTCATTCATGTTACCGAATAAAACGCGTACGTATTAAACCTCGTTTAATTCCCGTACCGTATTTAACTAACAAGGATATTAACCTACAAAGATTAAGCCCATACTACATTCCCATAAAATTTAATTAAATGCATTAAATAGTTATAAATTTTAATAATCATACATTCACTTGCAAGGAGATTACACAGTTCTACAAACCTAAGCCAAACACCCATTGGACATAACACCCATTAGAGAGTTGGCAAAAAACAAAACACATTAGGTAATTACAAATTTTAATAATCTTACATTCCCTTGCAAAGACACGAAAATAATCCTGGGCTCCTGGCTATAAACCTAAACCAAAACCCCCTAGCACGCCATCAACGGTTGGTCCAACTCATCCAAGTAGGGAGTTTAATTCTTCAAACTCAATCAAGGTTTCATGTTCGAAAATTGTGATTGCAGCAACAGAGGTTCGATGAGCACCCTAATATGACCCAAAAAAGCTTTAACTATAGTTTAATATTATTTAAAAATATTATTATTACTATTATTATCATCACCATCATAACCATCATCATCATTATTATTACCTACCCAATAAGGTAAAGTAAAATACTGGACTATATAAAGCTAAAGAATAATCTGAATCTAGAGAACAACTACTCTTAAGATATACAACAACCTACCAATTCAATAACATCAGAATCCGAAGAAGAATCATCACATTCAGAAGAATCCATGGATGAAGATACAAGTTCTTTGCAAAAGACGTCCAACTCCTCGGGGGTAAACCAGTCTTCCTTCATCTATACAATATGTATATTCATAATCCAAACTAGTTCAGCCAAAGAATTACTGAATGAGCTTTTATGATGCAGTTGGATATGTTTGCTTTGTACTAATCCTAGGATTATTAGGAAATGAAATAATCAACAAATTTTAAAAAATTAGGGTCTTTGAATTCCTGGGGAGAAGGATATTGAAGGGCTAAATAAATGTCTTCATGTATATTAAGCGAACAGCTAATATAATAGGTGATCACATAACATTTCAACCACACTTTATAATTGTTTTAAAAAACATTTTCAGTTATCACAAATGTAAAGTAGCCCCTCCGAAGTCTTCTTTTCTTGTCAAAAGGCTTCCATCCAGAGCGACCCTTAGTCCCCTGAATCTTTCTAATGAGCTAATCATTTTTCTTCTTCCTTTGCAGAAACAAATGCCCATATTACAAATTAATTTTCTAATTTTCCTGTCAAGCATCTACACTCATCCCTACCTTTCCTTCTGTTATAAATAACACGGAGTAATAAATCTAAATGTTTTTACTATCTGGTAACTCATCAGTGTATTTTATGTTTGATGATGACCAAATTTTGCACTGTATATCTACTTGTCTTTATCTTTCGCATTTTTTGAATGAAGTCCCATTTTATGGTATTTGCTTCACAGCAATGATAAGTGAACAGTACTCTAGTGCCAAAAAACGAGTCATGCTCCTAACCTTTTTTTGTCCCAAAAAAGAATCATATATCAACGCAACAAGCTTATTTCCATTAAATCTAATGCAATTTAGAACAAAGTACTAAATGAGTATCCTATTTAACAAACACAGGTAATCAATAATATGAGGACAGATGATTTACATGAATTGTACCTCAATACAATACAAAATATTACTTGATGAAATATGACTTTTTTTAGAACAGAGGTAGCACTTCAATAAAGTTTATAACTTCATAAAGTATTATAAAGAACCATAGTAATGTAAAGATGGTTCATGAGAGTGACTCACATAGTAAGGGTAGCCCTCAGACAAACTAAAATCTTCTGGTGCAAGTCCTAAGAAACGATCAATGAAGTATAAAACATAGTACCCACACTCATCATTGTTTCTTTGTTGCGGGACCTGGAAGCGTTAATTTTCAAGTGAGAACACACAAGCATCTACATATTAAGTTTTCCGCTCTGATAGATAATATTAATTAGTAGATACATATTGCTCATGCATGAACCATTCTTTACGCTCAAGTAAAAAACTCTTTCCATGAAACATGAGAATGAATCTAGTGCGTCAGATTTGAGATTATGCCTCAAAACAGGCCAACAATAGAGCAGATTTGAAAATGAGGTGGTATTTGGTAAATAAATCAATATTTTCTGCCATCACAAGTGCACCGCTTGAACTTAACAGTTCATCACATTGAACAAAAAGTTCACTGGTTCACACTAAACAAAAAACACTCAATCCAGGGAAACCGCAAGTGGAAAGTACTAAACCTTGGGAACTCGAAAAGGGATCTTTTTTATCATCTGCTTTGTCTCTGTTCTCTCCCCTGTGCTATAAAGATCGAAAACAAATCTGCAAAGTAAGAGCATAAATAGACGTTTAGTGTACTATTTTTTAGTACAAAGGTGAATCTTTTTCAAGTGAAGAGGGGAATTACTACTTTCTTATTCCAGATTCTAGTTGTTTGGCGTGTGCATCTTGCAAGGAGTCTAGCAGTAATAGGCAAGGAGTTTCAGATTGAAAAGTTTTGCCCATGTTGCACATGATCAATAGACACCAATGACCCCTGATAACATCTCACAAATCAGCATATATTATGAAATATTCCTCTCTTAAAGGGTGTGTTAAAATGTTTTGGATCAAAGAAAATGCTAGAGGAAAGAAAATTTGACAAAAAGAATCCCAATTATGACAGTTCTGCTTTTAGTGGTCCTAACTATCAATTATTTTTGTATAATCACAACTAGTGATTTGTCTTCTAAAATAGTCCCTAACTGTTCTGACCTGTTAATGTGGTATAGACTGTTAATTTGGAAGGTTTTTGACAACAAATAATCCCAATTATTGATTATTTTCATATAATTCTAACCATTGATTTGTCTTCTAAAAACAGTACCTCCATTTAGTTTAATTTCACTTTAATTTCATCTCTACTGTATTGGTTATATTTATCTTACTCAAAGAATGAAGATACCTCCAATGCTAACGAATATTTATCCCATATTACTATTTTTCAACCTGACTGATATCAATACAAGGGGCAAATCGGAAGTAGTATGAAAATATCTCTTAACTATAGATCATTTCTGTAAAGTCACAAGTTTAACTATCTCTGCTTATATGCTAGACACTCCTTGGACACCCAAGTCCTTTTCCACTTAGGCCCGACTAATTCCACTTATATTACACCCAATCCCACTTAGCTTAGGTGCTAGTGTCATAGCAGGATCTTGCTGGTTTTTATACCATTTTTAGAGGTCATGTTTCGAACTCGAAAAGTTTCAAAGAAAGAGAGATAAAATGCTTAAGAAAAAAAGTTTATTACGCTTGGTTTTAACTAGGGGAATATGAAGGAAAACCAAATACGGTCATAATTATTTACAATTGAATTACATTTCTTAGTCTTTATATAACTGCACTATATAAACTAAACGAGTTTGAACAAACATGGAAAAAATGACTTTGAAATTTAAATCTTCTTTTGTTCCCATTTTATGCTCTACATTCCTTATTTTTTTCTCTTTCCCAGGCTTTTCAAGTTCCAAATTGACCCTTTAGATAGAAAATTTTGAGGTGAAGGCTTGGAAAGACTTAGGAGGCGTTTACTTCGCTGCTAAAGTCACAGTTAGTTAGGTTAGTAAGACAGGTGAAGTAAACACGCACGCTGCTTACAAAGCCGCTTACTAACCGAAATAGGTGCTTAAAGTGCCGCTTACTAAGCATACCACCCCCATGTATTAATTAAGCAGCACTTTAAGCTTTTTCAGTTTCCGAATTTACCCCTTGCCCTTACCCTTATTGTTACCCCCTACCCGCCCTACCCTAACACCCCGACCCTACCCTACCCACTACCTCCATCCATCCTCGACCTTACCCCTACTCGACCGTTACCCCACCCCGCGTACCTCTTTTCTCTACAACGACCCTACCCCACCCCCACCTCGGCCCCGCCTCGATCCATACCATACCCCACCCGACCCCACCCCTACCCCTACCTTACCCTAACCCCAACCCCACCACCTCACCCCAACCTAGCCCCCTTACCACAACCCCCTACCCCCCACCACATCAGCCCTACCAGACCCCGCTCCTATCTTACCCTACAACTACCCTACCTTACCCCGACCCAACCCCCTACCCAAACCCTCCCCAACCCCTTACCCACCCCCAAACCCTAGGCCCTTACCACCTACCCCAACCCTACCCCCTAGGGCCCCTCCTACCCCAACCCCTTACCACATTGCCCCACCCCACCCTACCCTACCTTCCTTACCCAACCCCAACCCCTAGGCCTCTTACCACCATACCACATTGGCCCTGACCCCACCGTGCCCCCCTACCCTAGGCCCTTACCACTCTACCCCAGGCCCACCCCGACCCCACCCTGCCCTACCCTACCCTACCTTACCCCAACCCCTACCCTACCCTTACCCCCAGGCCCTTTACCACCCTACCCCAACACCCTACCACTACCACATTGGCACCACCCCGATTCCACCCGGTGGTAAGGGTGGGGTTGGGGTTGAGATCGGGGTGGGGCCGAGGTAGGGGCAAGTGGTGTATTGAGTGGGGTTGGGTCGTGGTTAGTCGTAAGGGTGGGGATTGCGGGTAGGTTGGGGTGGGGGTTGGGGTAAGGTAGGGTAGGGGCCTGGGGTCGGGGTAAGGTAGGGTAAGGTAGGGTAGGGTATGGGTAGGACTATGGTAGGATAAGGTGTATGGCAGGGGGTTAGGGGGGTAAGTGGGTGGGGTGGTAAGGGTCTGGGGGTAGGGGTGAGGTCGAGGACGGGGTAATGGTGGGGTCAAGGTAAGGTAGGGTAGGAGTGTGGTAGGTTAGGGTGGGGTCGGGGTGGGACTGATGTGGTAGTGGGTAGGGGTAGGGTGGTAAGGGCCTAAGGGGTATAGGGTGGGGGTAAGGGGTTGGGGTATGGGTACACATAATACTTGTGTTCATGAATGTTTGTGTGTCTATATATGTATAGGGTTATTTTGGACATTTTAATGCTAAACGATGTTTTAAACCTTTTGAAGTAAACAAGATCTTACAATGTTGCTTATTTTATGCGCCGCTTATTTTATGCGCCGCTTATTAACGTGGGTCTTAGTAAGCACCGTTTAGTAACCCGTGAAGTAAACATGTCCTTAGTTCATATCCTTGAATTTTACAAGTTCCCCTGGTATGTTATTCCTACAACTTTTAAGAAATATTACATTTATTTAAGATAGACACAGCCTTCAGTCCTCCACCCAAACGGACCTAACCGGGGGGGGGGGGGGGGGGGGGGAGATTTTGAACTTGAGGCCTCTTACATGGAGCCTCAAGCCTTATTACAATGCACTACAAGGTGTAACTAAGCACAACATCTTTTAACAGCTAAGTCTTGGAAAATATACCACTGAATGATAGGAACAATGACATATTTTCTGGTGAAGATCTCTTTCTTCTTGATCCAATCCAAGACCTTAGCTTTAGTAGTTCTATCTGTGTATAAGTGATACCATAAGGAGTCAAGGCATGTAAACAAACTTTTCCTCTCTTCAGAAAACTTCATCCATATTTTCCTTCATAAAAAGAAATTAGGACAAACCATGAAAGGAATAACAATGCAGTCTGCTTCTTCGAATTAAAAAAAAAATCATAAACCACAAATACCTCATATAGCACTCAAAGGCACCTGAGTCTAACTTTCCAAGGCCATTGCTTTCGTATCTTCTCCTGGACCGTCCACGACATTGCATTGAATTATGTGGGATAACTTCATCATCACTCGTTTCAGCAAAATCCATGCAAATTTGCTTTTTACATGTGCGTGTTTTTTTTGTTTTAACATGTAGTAAATGGGTCTTTAGTTTCACCACACTCCCATCACGCGGCCATCCTACAAAGAAATAGTTTATAGATCAGAACCATTACTGAAATGAACAGATGATGAAACGACAAAAATAAAATGCAGGCAAAAAGGAAAAACAGTGGCACGTCTTGCTATACTCTGTGTTAAATTATAAACAATCATCCTTTAAGCTGAAGACACTATAGCAATAAGAACTACAAGTGGGGGGGGCATGGAATCAAGGTCGCATACTTATTGCTGAAATGAAATGGGTAACACAAAAACCTTTTTTTTTTTTAAAACCAACGATTTTATTAAAAATATCATAATAGGGGACACACAAAAAGAAACGTCAAAGATGCCAGAAAGAAATACAAAAATGCTTGTGCCAAAGGTGAGGCGCTGGAGAGCCGTTGTGTTGAGCTTGGTTTAATCTGAAAGCGGGTCATGGAGGTGGCCCATTTATTGAGTAGTAGATGATGGCCCAACCGATCCGAACATAATACGCCAAGGAGGAATGTCGGACAATTAGGGTTAACTCATGCGAAGGTAGAGAGGGCCAGAGACGTTTACAAGTAAATCTGGAGTGCCATTACCTTTATTTTATTTGATCTATAGCTTAAGCATTTCAGTGTCCCCTTATATTAACGTATTGTTCATTATAAATAAAACATTTATCTACAATCTCAATATTTTAAAATCCACAACATTCGAGATGTTAAATAACTTGTACAAATCTTATTCCGCTTTTTAAAGTAATTGAGCAGAGTATATAAAAATGAACGTGAAGTCAAAGGAATGTGATGCAAAACCTGTTCATCTTTTTAAAGGAATTGAGCAGAGTAGATAAAATAAAGAGAAAAGTGTCAAATAGACCCTTCTACAATTATCAATACATCACTTAAACCCATGTACTAAAATAAGCATCACATAACCATTTGTAGTTTTGTACACTAAAATAACAATCACATAAGCCAATTTACAGGAAGATGACCGGTTTTAAGGGGTCATTTGGTGATTACTTGATGTTGGTAGGTAACAATCCATCTCCGGCTCAGGTCTCCAACCCAACAGATATTCTTTTATTTTTCCTTTTTCTCTTTACCCTTTTCTGTTCCTTTTTTTCTCTTTCATTCTCTTCATATTTTCTTTCGTTCTTTTTTCTTTTATCTTTTTTTATTCTTTTCTTTTGCATCGATCTTCCTAGCATGTTCCTACATTATCTTCACTGGAAGATGAAGGTCTCTTCAGATTGGGTTCATTGCAGGTGAACCTTAGTCACTGGAGGAGCATTCTCAAGCCTCAATGTTAGCAACTTAGCATTTAGCCCGAAGAACAGCCATATATATCGTCGGAAATTGCCAGAAATCCATTTTCTTGTGCTGCTGGTACGGTGTGCAGTAAAGGTGAGGGGTTGGTCTAACTGTATGAGGATACTTCATCGCCATCAAGAGGAAGAGGTACACCGGAGGAATAAGTGATTTTAGTGATCATCAGAAACTATCTAAATGGCGAAGAAAACTCGCCGGGCATATGCGAACTCAAGGGAGGAGACTCAGTCAGAGGTCTACGGATGATCTCAGAAAACGATGTGGACAGTAGCAGCGGAGTGTTGGTCGTCTCTGAAACTTTCTGCCTGTGTTCGTCGCTGCTATCGCCTGAAACGAATGACAAGTGCAGTCCGTTCCCAGTCGAGAGATGATGTTGCATTAAAAGTATTAGAAGTCACACTATTGTCCATAATAGCTTGTCTCAAGGAGCTCCTATCCATATGTGAAGGTATGTATTATACTTCGTATATTAATAATACGGAGCAATGGTCAAAATTTATACATTTCTATTTCTTTTACATGTTCTTGTGATTCTCACAGCTCAAAGACAAATTGGGGAGACTCACCTGAATGAAACAAGCTCCAGATCCCATCAAATTCTTAAACTGGTATGAATGCATCCGGCCTTTCCTTTCTTTACTAGTTATAATTTTTATTTTTTTTGAACTCCTATTGTTTTTATTCTGAACTAATGAATTGTTGTTCCTTATACAATTGAAAGCTCTGCTCGTGAGTTTATAGGGAATGACAAAAAACAACCTTCACTGCTACTCTGCTACGAAACTATCGATTTCCCATGGGCAACTTTTTATGTTCCCCCTTCCTAACCCCCAGACTCCGAATAACTAAATGCAGAACTTTGTTGATCTTGCTGGAAGTGAGCGGTCATCTCAGGCATTATCTGTTGGTCAAAAGCTAAAGGAAGGCTGTCAAATATCAACTGTAGTTTGCTCACTCTTGGAACTGTCATTTGCAAGCTAAGGTTGATTCCCTTGGTGTGGGAGATGGACGAACTGTATAGAAGGAGGAGAGAGAAAAGAAAAAAGTAAAGAAAAAATAGAAAAGGAAAAAATCACAATTACCGGCTAAAAAGGGTTTCCTCCGGTAAATGGGTTAATATGATTATTTTTTGTATTAGACATGTTTATGCGATTTTTTTTTTAATACATGGGTCTACCTGATGGAATTACAATTGTGCAAGGGCCTATTTGACCCATTTTCCTAAAATAAATTAATAATTAAACAAGAGAGAAAAATCGAATGACACAAGGACAATAAAACACCAAATATCACCTTAACAAAATCGATTAAGAATAAAAATAATCTGTAACATGAGGCAAATAATTGTACCTTTCTTGTTTATATATCCCCTTTTTGATCTCTTTTTACGAGGAACATTTTTCACAAAAGAGTAGTTTACTCTCATGCAGATTGACTCCCCATAGAATGGCATGTTCTGCCGTTGCATCGAGAAGGCTCTACTGCAATGTAAGACAGCAAGAGATCCCACGATTAGTGACTTACCAAGCTGTGTTCCAAATCATACACATACAATATCTTAAATAAACACTTGTCCCAAAACAATATTCAAGCATTTAATGCTAAAAACAGACTATGCTGTAGCTGACATATGCAGAAAATCTATCCTCAAAAGCCAATGTTAATTGTGAATGATTGACATAGATTTTGTTTATAAAAAGAAAAACAAATGAGCTGCTCTCTGCTATTGAAAACTATAAGTCTCTAACATACAACAAACTCCAGCGGGAACAATAGTCTTTTTAGACGTAGCATCAAAATCATCAAATTCAGGTTCAAGAACATAGCAGCGTTTAGTTCATTGCGTCCCCCCACCCCCTCCCCGATCAGATACATCGACATATTTTCGCAGTGCAACATTAGGAGTCAAGGATTAAGCTGCTAGTGCAAGCTAGGTGTAAAAATGAAAAATCAGCACAAATTGTGCATTTCCACCGGCGAAGCAGAATCAGTAGGCTGAAAAACAAAACAAGAAGGTAAAGAGGGAAATGAAGAACTGTGTACAGATAAGTAGGATGAGAAAATAGACTTAGAGGTGCGTAGTAGGATGAATCAGTACAAATTAGATAGGTGTACAACGTTTTAAAAAAGACGATCTCACCATTCAAAGTTTCACGTCTCGGAACCGCAAGATCGGCAGCTGTTCAGGCCTCGAACTCTAGATGAACTCTAAACCCTAGTGAAGTTTTTCAGGGAGACCAACTGGGTTTTTGCCGTTGGTAAGAATAGGGCCGGTAGTCCCGGACGACTACGACTCAAATGGGATCAGAAATAAGAGTGCGCTTACTAAGAGAGATTTTTCAATTTTCGTTTCTCTTTTCTGTTCTTCGTTTTTTTTTTTTTGGATAGAATTTCTGTTCTTTGGTTTCTGTTTTAATTTTTCAATTTTTCGATCTTAAATATTCTATTTTCATTTCTCAGTTTTCAATTTTCAAATATGAAAACATCTTCACCAAAATTTTCACACGGTTTTACTATCGAAAGTATTGCCCCCATCTGGAACCGAACCCAGTCTCAGGTATAAAATGTTGGGACTGAAACAACTCAATCTCAATCAGTCCCAACGACTAATTTGACTAATTCTTTTCTTTTTTCTTGTCAATTGGCAACTCAACAATTTTTTTGAATCTCTTCACTTTGAAAAAACGATTTAAAAATAGGGAATGTGCCAGGACAGGGACTCCGGAGTCGTCGAACCGGACCGGACAGAGACAGTCGAGTCATCGACCGGACTGGTTCGGGACCGCCCTGTTGTCGTCCAGACCGAAATCGAGATTGGAGCAGGATCGAGTCCACCACTAGGCGTAAGTATGCAAATTCATTGTAGCAACACTACAGTGTTCGCACATTTCAAACTTTGAAAATTAGTAAAAACTCATTTCTTCAATTCATTAAGGAAAACAAAGACACATATCTTTTTTTGTTTTGGAAAATGATATGGTAAACACATATTCCTGTTTTTCTTTTTCTAGTTTTCCAACAAATTTTTTCGGTAAACACATTTTTCTGTTTTCCTTTTTTCTGGAAAATTGAAAAATATCTCTTTTGTAAATAGTCCGATGGCCTCGCCGACCCGGGGGTACACATAAACCGAGTGAGAGTAAAAAATAAGCTCAATGTAGATCGAGTATAAAAAATAAGCTCAATGTATATGGCCTATAGTCGTCGGAGGAAACCCAGTCCACATGGTGAGAATCCATCAAGGCCAGGAAACGAACAGCCGATACCTCTTGAGGGTCACTTGGAGCGATCCAACTCGCTTCCCGGGCGGACGAACGTCCCCACTAATTAGGCGGGAAACCTAGATTCTGGCGGGAAGCGCATTTAATGCTGAAGATTTGGTGGTTGGGGCACCAGCGGTCCACAGGCTGCCACGTCAGTATGGCCACCTGCCCATTGGTGGGTATAAATAGAAGCATTTATTTCATTGTAAAGGGTTGACAACTTTCTATTCTTAGCATTCTAGCTACAGCATTCTTACCGGTAGCACTTCTACTGCCTTGTAAGACGAACGACCGACGTGCCCTTTTTAGCAAGTAGATTGTACTTGGGGGAGTTATTACGAAGTTAATAATACCTATTTACATTGCCTGCTATTTCCTTTGTTTCCTGATTTTTCTGATTGTTGTTGGGCTAAATATCCACACACCCCTATACCTCTTCCACTCAAGACCCCTTGGGCTTACGTGTTGGGCCCGAGGATCGAAGGAATTAACCTCAACAATACTCATCAACAAAATCAACTTGGAAGCACCTCAAATTTCATAAAAATGTCCTATTCCTGTCACGACGTCCTGACCGGAACCCCTGTGCAGACAACACCATCAGAGGGTCTTCCCAGTGGAATTTTTTGATGAAATGTTTTTGAGCATGTTCCTCATCAAGTCTAGTCTATTCATACAAAATTTCAGCTCAAAATTCAATCGGGAAGATTGTTAAAAAATTCTTGAAACATACTGCATTTTATATATGTACAAAATGTGCTGTAAGAGAAGAGCCGCCACTTGAAGTGGCGGCTTTTGTACTGTAAAAGAAGAGTTGCCACTTGAAGTGGCGGATTTTGTACTGTAAGAGAAGAGCCGCCACTTCAAGTGGCGGCTTTTCTTAACCACGGTTGACCCAACAGTATTTTGGGAATTATTTTTAATCCAACAGTATTTTGGGAATTATTTATTTATTTAGCATTATTTCGGGAAAAAACTCAAAAAGAAAAAGGGAACAACAGTACAAAAGAAAAAGAAAAAATGAGGAAACGAAATATAGAGCTAGTCCCATGGGAAGTCTCTGGACTGAGATCTTGTGGTCATGCAATGCCGCCTTTTGTTCTTCTGACTTTTTCTGTAAATTTTTAGTTGCGTGTTCAGGTTATCAGTTGGCAGACAGTTATACGAGGTTATGAAATTGGCCTTGCGGCAAATTTCCTTATTTCCCTCTGTCTGCCTTATATTGTCCCATTTTACCTTTTTTGGAAAATGCCACTAAAATTGTCTCATACTCCGTACCACATTTGGTAAAGTTTGTGTGGCTCTAAATCATTCTTACTTTATTCTTACTTTATCAAATAATATCAACCACACAAACCCCCTTTTCTTGATAATCGGGCAACTATCTTGCATTTTCATTTAGTTTTTTTGCGGGTATACCCGACCCGGATCCGAGACCCGACGGATCCAAATCTCGAACATATGTTTAGGACCCGAAGGGTAAATGAGTCCGGATATGGACCAAAAAATTTTCAACGGATATGGATATGGAATTTATAGTTCCGCGCGCCCGGATCCGACCCGTTGACAGGCCTAATACCAGTTACCCACGATGATACATTCAAACATACAATCAAAGGATTTTCAAGCACTAATTTTTTCCTTTTTAATTGTGTTTGGATTTTAATTTAGATATTTAATTGCTATTTCAATTGTGTTTGGATTTTAATTTAGATATTTAATTGTTTTTTTGTTTTGACGTTTATGGCCCGCGGGCTGGCCCGCATAACCCGTGGGTTAGGTGGGTCGGGTTAGGGTCATAAAAATTCTGGCCCGATAGTAAGCGGGTTGGCCCGCCCCGACCCGTGAAACTCATAACCCGCCGCGGGTCGGGGCGGGTTGGCCCGTTTGACAGCTCTAACTGGTATACTTAAAAAGTTAAATGATTAAATACTTAAAAGTTTTACTGTATTATCGTGGGTATACTTAAGCTGAAATACCGCAAATACCTAATTTCTCATTTATTTAGTCTGTTTTGGATATCATGAATAAAACAGCATAGAAGTCCTTATGTTATAAAACAGTATAGCAACGAATACATTAAAAATAAATTATTTAGTCTGATTTGGATATCATGAACAAAATACATTAGTATTAAAAGTGAGGAAAGAACTAGAAGTAAGGAGAGTATAATAGAAGATATAATTGTCCTATATAGAAATAATAGAAGGGAAAATAACTTTAAATAATACCAATTATCTTCCATGAACCAAGAATAATACAAACTTGAGAAATAAATTATTAATAATACCAACTATTTGATTATCTATCAAAAGTGATATATAGCAAATTTTCACCAAAAATTCATTTATTCAATTCATCAAAAACTAATATCAAAATATCAAATAAGTGATCATATTTTCAAATATCAATTATTTGATGATTTGATCTTAGTTTTTGATGTCTTAAATGATTGAATTTCTTGTAGAAAAGTGTCTCTATTTTATTTTTGGTTCACATCCAGATAGTTGATATTATTAAAAGTTATTTCTAAAGTACGTATTATTATTGGTTCATCGAAGATAGTTGGTATTATTTAAAATTATTTTCTCATAATAGAATTAAAAATACATAGAATAAATGATATTTGTCCTCAGCCCGCGGGTTGGCCCGCAACCCGTACGGGTTGGCCCGCTAAACCCGCAACCCGTTAGGGTTGATCCACTGAGCCCGCAAAACAATCGGGCCTGAAAATGATAGCCCTAACCCACCTATAAGTGGGTTGAAACGGGCCAACCCGCGGGTTTCGGCCCGTTTTGACGGCTCTAAGAACCTATATGGAATCTAACCCAAGACCTTCAACATTTGAAATTATAAAAAATACATATATTCAATTTCAAACTTTCAAATATATGCATATAACAAATAACAAGTTAAAAAAATTTGGTAAAGACAAAAACGACATTCAAGAAGAATCTGTTTTATCAATTCTATTTATTAAACTAAATATGTTATTCCTTCAAAAAAAACTAAATATGTTATTTATTATTTAATATATAAATACATATTAAAGTGTATATACCATTAATGTTTTTGGATACAAATTTACAACGGTTTTGCATATATATATATATATATATATATATATATATATAGGAAAATGTTCAAGTAAGGTAGGCCTAAGAATTGAAATTCTTAGGCCTCTTTCATTTGAGGTGCTTCCGGGTCTTATTTTTTTATGAAATTTTGTGAGCATGTTCTCCATGAAGTGTTGACTATGCCCACCAAATTTTAGAATAAAATTCAATCGGAAAGACGGTTAAATAATTTTTTCAAAATTGTGCAGGGTTTTACATATATAAAATGCAGTTTTTATCAATAATTTATTTAAATGACTTCCCGATTGAACTTTATCGTGAAACTTGGTGGACATAATCTTCAATCCATGGAGAACATGTTTACAAAATTTCATCAAAAAATTCAACCCGGAAGCACCTCAAATGAAAGAGGCCTAAGAATTGTAATTCTTAGGCCTACCTTCCTTACCTTAGCATTACCCCATATATATATATATATATATATATATATATATATATATATATATATATATATATATATATATATATATATATATATATATATATATATATATATATATATATATATATATATATATATATATATATATATATATACTTCCTCCGTTCTTTTTTAGTTGCAACGGTCAATATTTCACACTAGGGCTGGACTCGGGCCGGGCGGCCCGACCCGGGACCGAACCGGCCCGGTCACTGTTTGGCCTGGCCCGGCCCGTGGCCCGGTGGGTCCACCGATTCGGTTTGGCCCGTCCCGGGTGCTGGGCGGTCCGGGCTCGGGCCCAGGTTTTGGTGAACCGGTCCGACCGGTTCGGGCCCGATCCGGGCCGGATTTTAATTTTTTTTTTTTAATTTTTTTTAAGTTTTAGGTTGGATTAGGTATTTTGTGCCATTTGAGGTGGTTTGGGATGGTTTGGGGTTGAGGGGGAGGGGTAGGGGATTAAATAGGAGAACAAAAAAAAAAATTAATTAGGCCGGTTCGGCCCGGTCCGGCTCGGTTTGGCCCGGAACCGGCCACCGGCGGTTCAGGCTCGGGCCTCCCCTTTCCTGGCCCGAGGC